CACACACACAAATGTTTTTTCACAACAATGATGACTGTACACGCTCAACGCGTGTTCAGAGAAACTTCCACTTCCTGAACTCCGGGTGCCAGACTGGGTTGCCAGGCCGGGGTGTTAGGCTGCTCCAGGTTATTACAGGATTTAGTTATCGGTATATTTCGAAAATTGTCGAACCGTTACCATCCAAATCTTGTTTTTATACGAACGTGTCACATTCCGGGTTTCTTCGGCACAAATGAGATCACAGTTACCACTCCTTTGAGTGAAATGGTTTGTCTCATTAACCTCCGCCTTTTCGTCGCTGATTGTTTTTAAAATGTAGCCAGTTTGTTGTGACAGTTATAACGGCCAACAAGCAATCGACGGCACCAGGTGTCTGGAAGGACAAACGCACAATCAATCAAACGAATCGACAGTTCCAAATTAATTTCACGCAATTATGCCGTTCGTCGGATGACTAATGGAACTTGAGTCATTTATGTAAATTAGTGAATAAATATGCACAGTTTCAACCCTAAAATTATCACCTAGGGGTCGGCGATTTGAAAATCTGGGAGGCATCATTATTCAAAGAAAAAAATCACAAACACAAACTCACAGGAAAAAAATAAAATAATACCAACGAAAAAACAAAATAATTGCACACTAAATGTGTTTGTGAAACAAAAGCTTGTCCAGTTTACTAAACAAAACAATTTCTTTGACCAGGTGTTTAAGAATTGGAGATCTAATAAGTATTGGATAACATGGAAATCGAAGACCCCTCCCATATATAATTTGTGTATGCTGATACCAATTCTATTTTTAACCTTGTGTTCAAGTACTCAGCATTCAATAGCTTGCAAATATTTGCAACATGATCTCATTTCCCCTCAAATAAATCAGTTAGAAACAAAAGTATTTTGCAGTCCGGGGACGATGTTTCCATACTGACATTCATTACGCCCTTAATATTACTACACGAATATTGAATTACCAAGCAATGGAGAATGACAAAAATGTTATAGTTCTATATTCAGGCAGTAATATATCAACGGTTTAAGGACAGTCTCATAAAAAATCATTTAACAACCAAGAATAAACGAGAATAACAAAGATATTTATGCTCTTAAAAATAAAATGTTACTTGTTGTTGTAGTTGCACAACATAACAATAAACAAAACTGTATCCATAAATAATAAATATATATTAATATATATATATATGTGTGTGTGTAAAATATATGTATCGTGTAGGAAATGTAAATAAAACTGTAGTAGTAACGGGGCATACTGGTACAAATCCGTCAGATCTTCCCTCTTTATGTGAAGGTGTTTCAACAAAAAATATCAGTTTCACTTATGAGTAAGGATTACATAATCAACATTTTCTGCAGGTGTAACAGTCTGTGTGCACGCAATTCCTGTAGGTGTTACTCTATATGTAGACGTAATCTATGCAGGTGTAACATTCTGTGTACACGTAATCTCTGTAGGTGTTACTCTATGTGTAGACGTAATCTCAGCAGGTGTAACATTCTGTGTACACGTAATCTCTGTAGGTGTTACTCTATGTGTACACGTAATCTCAGCAGGTGTAACATTCTGTGTACACGTACTCTCTTTAGGTGTTAC